ACACAGTAGAGACTCCACATTGTGTGCGTTTCATTATTACAGTGGTCTGCTGAGGTTTTAAATAAGAGGGCTTTGCAATGTTCAGAGCTATTTTGGTTTAAATGGTGGCTCACTCATGGCAGACGTTGTGTCTGGAGAGAAAAGGGCCTGGAGACACACTGCCTTGGCTCCTCCCTCCAGTCTGATAACCAATCTGGCAATAACCTATCCTTTCTGACACACCCTGTGATTTAAAACCATTGTAGGAGCAACATAAGCTTGCACACACATCTTGGGTTTATGTGTTTTATGAGGATTCATCATATAAATAATGATTTTTATACTTTACAAACTGTATATTATATCTCCTAACCATAACCTTACCCCTAAACACAACCTTCACTGAACACTTTCTGCATTTTTACAGAGAGAAAAAAAACAGTTTTCCTCAAGGGGACAGAAATGTTGTCCCTGCAAAAAAAATTAAAAAATCAGGTTTTACTATCCTTGTGGGGACATTTGGTCCACATGGAGAATACCTTGACACCACACACCCACACACATATTCAATATACTTCTATTGATTCTATAATAAATAATGATTTTTATACTTTACAAACTGTATATTATATCTCCTAACCATAACCTTACCCCTAAACACAACCTTCCTTGAACACTTTCTGCATTTTTACAGAGAGAAAAAAAACAGTTTTCCTCAAGGGGACAGAAATGTTGTCCCTGCAAAAAAAATTTAAAAATCAGGTTTTACTATCCTTGTGGGGACATTTGGTCCACATGGAGAATACCTTGACACCACACACCCACACACATATTCAATATACTTCTATTGATTCTATGCAAAGCTAGCTATAAATACTATAACCTGACTTTAACCCACACCATAACCCTAACTAAAAACATTCTGTATTTTTACAAATGTGACAAATGTGTACCTAGATTTGAGCTAAATCGAACAATACCTCCCAACACCTGCTTTTGGAGACATTCTATTTTGTAAAAACAGTATTTAAAAAAAAATAAAAAATGTATTCCCACATATGTAAATGTCTGCAGCTACTCATATGCAGGATCCAAAATTAAAACTCGCCAAGTAGTGATTAGTCTATAAATTGGCTATAGCATTTAATGCAATGTAATTATTACATTTTAAAATAAATATAGGCTACTATACTATACTACCCAGATGATCAATAAAATGTGTATCGAATATGCAGTGCAATACATGATTTAAATCTGACCCCCATTTCTGTTTTTATATGGGTTAATGGTGTAGGCATGTCAAAGAGATACAAATGGTCCATTAAAGAAAAGTATGTACTTTTTTCTAAGTAGAAAATTTACCTTCAGATGTTTAGTTACCTTTTTAATTCAACATTTGGCAGTTCAATCAAATACTGAGTCAAGAAAAAAAAAATCCTTCATCCATCACACTGGAAATGGAAGGTGAAATCAAGTGCACTCGACTGAAGCAGCAAATGAATATGCATACCTTCATCCTACTATACTCAAGTGTGTGAAAAAGTGTGTCGAATTCACAGTATTCATGAAATGTCTAGACAAAACATACCTTGATCACCTCCAACTTTCAGAGATTCTGAAGCGTGCGTCCAGTGAACACTTTACTATCCCATGAGGCCTCGACAGAAAAGCTGTGAATGGCAGTGAAATGATGCAGCTGTTGCCATACGTCACATTACAATAACCACATTACAAATACATCCAGATTACATTCATACCACACTCATTCGTGCTATATAGCATATAGTATGAAAATATATCATGTTTAGCAAATATATAAAGTTATATACAATTTTAATTGTTATGACTGCCAAGTAAATGAAAATATATCATGTTTAGCAAATATATAAAGTTATATACAATTTTAATGGTTATGACTGCCAAGTAATTGTTTATTTAAAGGGGTCAGATGATGCGATTTCAAATTTTCCTTTCTCTTTGGAGTGCTACAAGCTCTTGGTGCATAAAGAAGATCTGTAAAGTTGCAAAGACTAAAGTCTCAAATCCAAAGAGATATTCTTTATAAAAGTTAAGAGTCAGTCACACCTACCTAAAACGGCTCGTTTAAACACGCCACCACATATCTACATCACTATGTGGGAAGATTTGCATAACGCCCCAAATGTTCACGCAAAGAAATTTTATTCTAGCTGTAGTATTGTTGCCGCCGCCACCATGTTGTGGATATGCTGTGTGTTTCATTGTGAAAGTGAAACTACTTTGTTTGGCCTTCCAAAAGAGGATGATATCAGCTTTGTCACGGACCGGCTTTCACGTGGACGAAGTGGAGTCCAGCCCGGGGTCGTCACATGTGGTTGCCACAAGCCTCCTTTGTCGAATCCGTCGGGCGCCGCTCACTCTGACGCTGTGTGTTTAGTTGTGAAAGCGAAACTACTTTGTTTGGCCTTCCAAAAGAGGACATAATATTTCTATAAAGTGGGGCAGTTCCAACTTTGCAAGGACAGTCTAGCCTAGCCTAGCCTGTAAGTACGTTTTTTATATTTAAAGAATTTGCCACTGATGATTCAAACACGAGTTTGAGCAGTGTAGAGTAGCGCTTATTGTTTGTCATTTTTTCCAGATCACAAATGCAAACATGGTTTTATGTTTACGCGGCACAATACGCAACGCAAAGCGTAAAAACACAGTATAAGTCATTACAATCAGTAATTATGTCCCCACTGGATGCAACAAATGCCTAGTTTGTAATGGGTTTTATTGGTTTTGTCTCGTCGCGCCGGGACACATGGAAACCATAGAATGTATGATGGAAACACAGTATGGTAAGGGGCGTAACATTTCTGTCACACGCTTGAGGTATTCAGCCAATCACAACGCACTGGATAGCTGGCCAATCAGAGCACACCTCGCTTTTCAGCCCGATGAGCTTTGTAAAAATCGCCGCGTTTCAGAAAGGCGGGGCATAGAGGAAAAACATTAATGTACAGATAAACTCACTTAATTACACCAAATACACAAAATTATGTTCTTTTTAGCAGCATCATATGACCCCTTTAAAAGAAGTAGACCTACCTCCTCACAAAGTAGGCCTATGCGATTTCAGACACAGCCACAATAAGCTCTGGAGAAATCATAATTAACAATAATAAAATAATGTCTCTTTTCAAGCTACCACCACACATTTCTCTCTAAGTCTTTATACTCTGGTTAACTTTTAGATTCCTCCTAGCTTGTTATGGTGTTTTTGATATTTTTTCCCATTATAAGCACAATAGTAAGCAGTGCGTTTTCAAACCGAAGAGTGTCGCACTTCTCTCCAGCCGCACGTCTTCAGCGGGCTCCTCTGGGCCACCGTACACACACACTATTGCAGGAAAACGCTTTCCAGTTGCGAATGAGAAGAACGTAATATCCCCATAGACTGAGAATATATCCCACAAAAACGTTTTAATTCAGCTGCTTTAACCGCGTGTGATCATGACAGAGTACTCACACGTAAAGTCCTCCAAACTCGTCCTAAAAGGATTAAACGATAAAAAGTAAGGCTTTCTTTTTGTATTGCGTTCCACCAAAGTTGTATCATTTCTCATTCATGTTTATAGTTACGTTAATTAACTTACTGTCCTAATTGATGCAAGTTAAGCAGCTGCGTATGCCAAGAATTATGTTAATATCAGAATTGTTTACGCTAACGTTAATATTAAATGGCCTGCACCTTCCATATTGTGCAGAAAGAAGAAAAAGAACAAGAACAAGAAGAGAAAACGAGATGATGATGAAGATAAGATGGATATCGTTGGTATATATTGTCACTTTGCCCATGGAGTTCTAAAATATATCACTCATATATAAATAGATTTATTGACTAGCGCAGAATTCGTTTTTGTAAATGCTGTATGATCTGCATAATAGCTATATTGTTGTTGGTACTGCCTACTATTCATGACATGAAGTGTGTGTATTTCTGAATGTGTCTCATCAGGAGGCTGGTGGTCAGTGAAGAGTTTTGGTGAGATCTCAGGAACAGTGGCCATTGAGATGCACAAAAACTCCTACATTCATGCAATGGACACTGGACTCTTCACTGTAGGAGCTCCACATAAAGGTGCTGATTTTATTTGCCTCACTGTTGTGAAAGCGAAACTACTTTGTTTGGCCTTCCAAAAGAGGACATAATATTTCTATAAAGTGGGGCAGTTCCAACTTTGCAAGGACAGTCTAGCCTAGCCTAGCCTGTAAGTACGTTTTTTATATTTAAAGAATTTGCCACTGATGATTCAAACACGAGTTTGAGCAGTGTAGAGTAGCGCTTATTGTTTGTCATTTTTTCCAGATCACAAATGCAAACATGGTTTTATGTTTACGCGGCACAATACGCAACGCAAAGCGTAAAAACACAGTATAAGTCATTACAGTCAGTAATTATGTCCCCACTGGATGCAACAAATGCCTCGTTTGTAATGGGTTTTATTGGTTTTGTCTCGTCGCGCCGGGACACATGGAAACCATAGAATGTATGATGGAAACACAGTATGGTAAGGGGCGTAACATTTCTGTCACACGCTTGAGGTATTCAGCCAATCACAACGCACTGGATAGCTGGCCAATCAGAGCACACCTCGCTTTTCAGCCCGATGAGCTTTGTAAAAATCGACGCGTTTCAGAAAGGCGGGGCATAGAGAAGAAACATTAATGTACAGATAAACTCACTTCATTACACCAAATACACAAAATTATGTTCTTTTTAGCAGCATCATATGACCCCTTTAAAAGAAGTAGACCTACCTCCTCACAAAGTAGGCCTATGCGATTTCAGACACAGCCACAATAAGCTCTGGAGAAATCATAATTAACAATAATAAAATAATGTCTCTTTTCAAGCTACCACCACACATTTCTCTCTAAGTCTTTATACTCTGGTTAACTTTTAGATTCCTCCTAGCTTGTTATGGTGTTTTTGATATTTTTTCCCATTATAAGCACAATAGTAAGCAGTGCGTTTTCAAACCGAAGAGTGTCGCACTTCTCTCCAGCCGCACGTCTTCAGCGGGCTCCTCTGGGCCACCGTACACACACACTATTGCAGGAAAACGCTTTCCAGTTGCGAATGAGAAGAACGTAATATCCCCATAGACTGAGAATATATCCCACAAAAACGTTTTAATTCAGCTGCTTTAACCGCGTGTGATCATGACAGAGTACTCACACGTAAAGTCCTCCAAACTCGTCCTAAAAGGATTAAACGATAAAAAGTAAGGCTTTCTTTTTGTATTGCGTTCCACCAAAGTTGTATCATTTCTCATTCATGTTTATAGTTACGTTAATTAACTTACTGTCCTAATTGATGCAAGTTAAGCAGCTGCGTATGCCAAGAATTATGTTAATATCAGAATTGTTTACGCTAACGTTAATATTAAATGGCCTGCACCTTCCATATTGTGCAGAAAGAAGAAAAAGAACAAGAACAAGAAGAGAAAACGAGATGATGATGAAGATAAGATGGATATCGTTGGTATATATTGTCACTTTGCCCATGGAGTTCTAAAATATATCACTCATATATAAATAGATTTATTGACTAGCGCAGAATTCGTTTTTGTAAATGCTGTATGATCTGCATAATAGCTATATTGTTGTTGGTACTGCCTACTATTCATGACATGAAGTGTGTGTATTTCTGAATGTGTCTCATCAGGAGGCTGGTGGTCAGTGAAGAGTTTTGGTGAGATCTCAGGAACAGTGGCCATTGAGATGCACAAAAACTCCTACATTCATGCAATGGACACTGGACTCTTCACTGTAGGAGCTCCACATAAAGGTGCTGATTTTATTTGCCTCACTAAACTCCTGAAATGTGTGGCTGCAAGGCAGCTCAGTTTATGTTGTTAAAACAAATTTCACAAATTAACATTCAAAATCAGTTAAAAACATGTATACATCATATTTCTAACTCTTAAGAGTGCTCACTTCAGTGTTTTAAACTCATGCTTCCTTAAAGTTATATGCTAGTTGTGCAAGTTAGTAGTGAGTTTAAGTTACAAAGAATGTCCACGGTCAAAAAAATCTGTATCTTGAGGCCTTTTATGGCATCAGAAACACCTTTGATAAACATGTATTTGTATTCTTTCCTCTACAAAGTAACTGTACTGTATTTTAATGTATTAATTGTTTTGATGTAATGCAGTGATGTTAGCCAATCATAGGTGCCTGTTCACTGGTGAGCCTGAAAGGAGACGCAGCATTAAAATGGAGCATTTCAGACAAAGGGTCAAAATGAGGAAAGATTTTAGTTGTTGAGAATATATGATTATGAAGTGTGATTATTATAAGTGGACCTCAAGGAACATATTTAAATAATAAAAAAAATAATGTAAAAATTGTCACTTAAGCAGAGGTAAAGAGGTACAGAAATGATTGCCTGTGTAGGATGGCCTTAGAATATTGAATTTCACGGTAGTGGGCCTTGAAGTTGCAAAGGTTGTGGCCGGCCCATGATCAAGTGCATTTATATAGTGGTGAGATTTAAAATGATTTGAAAACTAGACTCTTAATTGGAAATATAATGTTTTATTTTAAAGGCCCATGTTTTAAAATGCATTTTACAAGCTCCCGTTGCAGTATTTTCAGGCAACAGGCAAATCTTTCTCTGCAATTATACTGCATTGTATTTTTTTCAGCCATGCAGCTTTTATATTGCCTTTTAAATTGAAAAGGTCCCTCTAATAGTGCGGAACAAATAAGTCTCTCAAAAGTAGAGATGGCTAGGTGCTGGTGTTTTTCTTTTGCTCTCAGTGTGGGATTTAAAAACCTGAATAATGGTATGGATCGTCAGTCGCTATTACCGCAGCCGTTCATGCAAAGCACAGAGCAATTTCATAGTCCAGTCACCAGAAGGAGTTGTTTACGATTGTTTTTCTTTCCAGCCTTATTTTCTGCTTCGCACTGACCGCTGGTTGTAAGGATCGGCCTCTGTATCACTCTGGGAGCACCATAAAATTTGTGCACGCTCTCTAAAATCAATTTCATTTAGCTGTTGAGACCTGAAATTACTAAATGAATGACTGAAACCGCTATTGACTCCACTTCATGACCAATGCATCTGCATGATTACCACTCCAGGGAAAAACATGGACACACACACTGCTCTGTAACTCTTTGAGCATATCACTTGAATGCTCTTGCAGAATTCAATATCTTAAAATATTCACGAGTTCATCATGTCTACAGCAGATAGAATAGAATATCAGCGTTCAGGTTTACTCTTCCTTTTGTTCAGTCATTCATGGCTGAAGAAGAAACTACTATTAAAATACTGCAAGGCTCAGCAGTATAATGAGTTATCGCCAAGTAGTTTAGCTGCAAAACTTTTCTTTGTTCTCTGTATTTGATATTATCATAGCAGAATTTCCCATCGTTGTTTCATGTCCTTATAAATGTTCAGCTGTGAAAATTATGATGACATGGAAATTATTCAGTTATAAATGTGTGGCAGCTCTGACTTCTTTTGTGGAATAGAAATGGCAGTCACAGATTCGTCTCCTGTAATAGTGCAATTGTAATGCTCTTATTCAGCAAGGATGTATTTAAGTTAATCAAAAAAGACATTAAAGACCATATTTTACAGTAAATACATTTGTAATAGATTACAAAAAGATTTATTTATTTACAAAAGATTCCTATTTTAAATAAATGCTATAGTTTTTAATTATAATAATTATAGTTAATTTAATTAAACTTTAATTCAGCTTTGCCATCACAGGAATAAATTACATTTTCACAAAATTACTATTTTAACTGAAATTATCAAAAAACTATAGCCTTTTTAAGTTTAAGTTTCTCTTTTATTGTCTCCCTTAGGATAAATTTGTCTTAGGCAACCGGGAGAGCAGATCAAACATACAAAAAAATAATAATAATAAATAAAAAATAAAATAAATAAATATTACACCATTCCAAAACATATAATTCCTATACAATCCTAGTAATACACCAACATTACATGTTACCCATCACATTACCCTCACCCACACAACAATTTCAATCACTTATTCAATAATTTGACAGATAATGGAATTAGAGAAAATTTGTATCTTTTCAGCTTACAGATTGGAACCCTATATTTCTTGGCCGCGGGCATTAGCTTATACTCCTTATGGAGAATATGGCTTTGGTCACCAATAATTTTAAAACTCTGCTTCCTAACAGACCTCTCAAAAATGTCCTGAAGAGAAAGAGGAGACAATATACCAATTATTTTTCCAGCTCTTCTAACCACATTTTGAAGTTGTGACCTAAGTTTAACAGTCAAATTTCCAAACCATATTGTAAAACCATAACATATTATAGATTCAATAGCTGATCTGTAAAACAGTAACATGATAGTTTTATCCACTCCATAAACCCTGAGCCTTCGCAAAAAATGCAAGCGCTGACTAGCTCGTGTACAAGCATAGTCCACTTGATGACTCCATTGCAGCTGAGAATCAAAGTAGATACCTAAATACTTATATGTTGTTATGAATTTTTGAGCATAGGAGATGTAGGTAGTGTATACAAGTTTAAAAATACATATGTTTTATGTTTGCAGAGGATGAAGGCCCAGATCCTCCAGAACAGTTTACTGCCATCAGACTCTCAGACTCCAGGTAAAGATCATAACCAAAGTTGTAAATGAATTTAAATATTTCATAACTAATAAAGTTAAATTGATCATGTAACTAATTTTTCTTATCCCTTTCGCTGGTGTGTAGGATAGCACTAAAGTCAGGCTACGGGAAGTATTTTGGTATAAACTCAGACGGTGTTGTGGTTGGTCGATCAGATGCCATCGGCTCCAGGGAGCAGTGGGAACCAGTGTTTCAGGATGTGAGTGAATCTAAAAAATGCAAGCGCTGACTAGCTCGTGTACAAGCATAGTCCACTTGATGACTCCATTGCAGCTGAGAATCAAAGTAGATACCTAAATACTTATATGTTGTTATTTTTGAGCATAGGAGATGTAGGTAGTGTATACAAGTTTAAAAATACATATGTTTTATGTTTGCAGAGGATGAACGCCCAGATCCTCCAGAACAGTTTACTGCCATCAGACTCTCAGACTCCAGGTAAAGATCATAACCAAAGTTGTAAATGAATTGAAATATTTCATAACTAATAAAGTTAAATTGATCATGTAACTAATTTTTCTTATCCCTTTCGCTGGTGTGTAGGATAGCACTAAAGTCAGGCTACGGGAAGTATTTTGGTATAAACTCAGACGGTGTTGTGGTTGGTCGATCAGATGCCATCGGCTCCAGGGAGCAGTGGGAACCAGTGTTTCAGGATGTGAGTGAATCTGTCAATCAAATCAGTTCACCAGTCACAATGAAAATACTTCATTTTGTATAGGAAATGTGAATAACTCTGGTACATTTGGCCGAAAGTTTTGAATTCAGTTTCTGCCATTTCTTCTACTTGTTTCCTGTAGGGTAAAATGGCCTTGCTTGCTGCAAACAGTTGTTTCATCTCGTACAGTGAGAGTGGAGACATAGTGGCCAAAAACAAGACAGCTGGAGAGGAGGAGATAATAAAGGTGAATCTCTCTAAACTCGCAGTCCACACCAAGATGAATTGCTTAAGGGGGAAGATTTTTGTTGTTGTTGTTGTTGCTGTTGTTGTTGTCTGAAGGACAGAATGATTCACAGCTATTTTAGACACCATTATATGTAATCCCAAAGCTCACCAACGTTTTGAGAAATAATTCAGTGATTCAGATTTGGCCACTGCAGTGCATACATTGTATTTTGTCTGAACACAAGACTTTCTGTCAAATTACTTTTACAAATTAGAACTATATTCTGGAATGAAGACTATAGACATTATTTTTCATGCTTATCTGTCCTCCACAGATCCGTTCATGCACAGAAAGAGAGGTGAAGAGAAAAGACGATATAGCAGATGAAGACAGGGGTGATGTCAAGAACTGTGAGGTCAACTATGTGTGAGTGCTTGCAGTAAAATACCGAAGCTGTGCCGTTTATTGAGCATTCAGCAAAGTAAATGTTTATGTGAATGTTTGCAATTTACATACAGGAAGAAGTTCCAGAGTTTCCAGGATCGGAAGCTGAGAGTGAATGAGGAAGACAGCAGTTTGCTGAAAACAGCCAGAACAGATGGAAAATTCCATGAGGCACTGCTAGACAGGTAAGACCTCTGACTTCAGGAGGAAAACCTCAAACTGTGCTCGTACTGAATAATAAATGACTGTAGCCTAACTAACTAATCACCCTTAGATGGATGAAAAGGTGTTAGATTATGTAGATATGCTCTATTGGATGATTTATCATACAAGGTGGTGTTTGAAACATTGTGAATATGCAAATATTTCATCATTTGCCGTGTAAGTGAGACCAAATTTACAAAATGTTCTGTGAAGCTGCTTCGTAACGATGTGTATCATGAAAAGCGCTATACAAATAAACATGAATTGAATTATCATGTTTATAAGAAATCATTCTTTTTTTCTTTTTTTTTTAGGAGAGCCAAGATGAAGGCTGACAGATACTGCAAGTGAATCCAGAAGTGTTTTTTTTCTTCTTCTTCGATTAAATTTTACATTGGCATGGAATCACTGCCATTTTTTTTTTAATAAACCTAGTCACTTTTCACAAGAAAATGTTTTGTTGTTGTTTTTAGATAGCCTATAAGTTATATTGTTATTAGATGTATCCTCCAAACGGCCCAACGTGAGTATGACAACTGAAATTATGGATTATACAACCTGTAAAAACTGCTGTCAGAGACCAAAATTTAAATCAGTGCAAGCATACAATTACATGTACAACAGGTGTATATGAAAATACAAACGGTAATATACGGATATATACAATTCATTTTAAACATTTCCGAAAGTTTGTATTTTGACAGCTTATTGTCTTTGATGTCAATAAGAAAAAAATGTATACTTTAGTTTTAAAGAAGTGAAACAAAGTCACCAGTTTTGTTACAACAGGGTGGATCTGTATCCTTGTTATGCAAACACAAAATATGAAACATCACGAGTTTTGTAATTCTCACTGAAGAGAGAGAATAAGAAAATCTGTATAATCTCTGTATTTTTTAGATTTAAAGGCGATGTGGCTTGGTATACTGTTAATCTGGATTTACCACCAAGCAAGAGATGGACAGATATCATTACAGACAAAAAGAATGATGTGAGTTTCAGTGCTCTATCTATGAATGCACTTACAGCAAAACGTAGAGTTTTTGGCACGTCACTTGATTATTAGTTGCCTTCGATTTTAGATCTTATCTCTTTTAATTGATGTGTTGGTGAACTTTGTTGTGAACTTTAAACCAAAATTGAACTGAAAACCTTGAAGTCTACAGTACAAACCTAAAACCAGATGATCTGAGAAGGGCGGATGTGTTCCGATTGCTCAAGAGCTCATGTGCTTTCCTTTAGATGGTGAGCATGATTCAGGCTATCAGAGATCTAGCAGATGCATTTGTTCCCAGTGGAAAGCTTATTGATCTAGTAGACAAGGACTTGGTGAGTTATTAAGGAATCTCATCTGTCTAACATATCACTTTGTATGATGTTTAATCATGATTGACTTAAAGGGATAGTTCACCCAAAAATTTAAATTTGATGTTGATCTGCTTACCCCCAGGGCATCCAAGCTGTAGGTGACTTTGTTTCTTCAGTAGAACACAAACGAAGATTTTGAACTCAAACCGTTGCAGTCTGTCAGTCATACAATGGCAGTCTATGGGCTACACGGCTTTGAGAGTCAAAAAAGCATACACAGACAAACCCAAATTAAACCCTGCGGCTCGTGACGATACATTGAGGTCTTAAGACACGAAATGATCAGTCTGTGCAAGAAACTGAACAGTATTTATATCATTTATATCATCACCACCGCAATGTCTGAGCGCGTTCACAACATCTGGCAGTGACACGTGTACGTGCTCTGGCATAGTAGACATAGATATATATAAGTAGATGCCTCATTAGTGACTGTTTCTATGGGTCGCGATACGTTCCAAAATGGTGGACAGCAAGCATACAATTACATGTACAACAGGTGTATATGAAAATACAAACGGTAATATACGGATATATACAATTAATTTTAAACATTTCCGAAAGTTTGTATTTTGACAGCTTATTGTCTTTGATGTCAATAAGAAAAAAATGTATACTTTAGTTTTAAAGAAGTGAAACAAAGTCACCAGTTTTGTTACAACAGGGTGGATCTGTATCCTTGTTATGCAAACACAAAATATGAAACATCACGAGTTTGTAATTCTCACTGAAGAGAGAGAATAAGAAAATCTGTATAATCTCTGTATTTTTTAGATTTAAAGGCGATGTGGCTTGGTATACTGTTAATCTGGATTTACCACCAAGCAAGAGATGGACAGATATCATTACAGACAAAAAGAATGATGTGAGTTTCAGTGCTCTATCTATGAATGCACTTACAGCAAAACGTACAGTTTTTGGCACGTCACCTACAGCTTGGATGCCCTGGGGGTAAGCAGATAAACATCAAATTTTTATTTTTGGGTGAACTATCCCTTTAAGTGAACAATAATCTTAAACCTCATATCAGACATATACAGTAGCTGTCACTGATCATCGACTACAATAATAATTTGAGGAGTAATAACAGTGTTTGCTAAAAGGACTATAATGTGTTTGTCCCCAGCCCTTGATGGTGGATACCCTGCCTTACCCGTTCAATGAGGAGATCAGAGGAATAGCATCAGTGTCTGGTGTTCCTTTGGGTATGAAATGCATCAAAACCATACTATTATGCCTAACGCTGTTAAATCAAATCTATATTTAAATCACAATTACTTGTTCTCAGGTGAGGTGGTGCTCTTCAATGTATTTTATGAGGTGTTCACCGTATGCACTTCTCTGGTTGCAGAGGATGTCAATGGTGAGTATATCGTCTATTGATAACATTATTTTCATTTTTTTTAATAATATTTAATAATTTGAATCTGTGTTCTAAAATATTAAATACACATTATATAACATACAGTACCAGTCAAACGTTTGGATTTGGAAAAATATATATATATATATATATATTTTTTTTTTTTAGAAATTAGTACTTTTATTTAGTAAGGATGCATTAAATTGATCAATAGTGACAGTAAATACTTTTATAATGCTAAAAAAAAATTATTTCAAATAAATGTTGTTCTTTTGAGCTTTCTATTAATCAAAGAATCTTTAAAAAAATGAATCACAAAAAAATAAGAAGAAGAAGAAATGCTTCTTAAACACCAAATCAGCATATTAGAATTATTTCTGCAGGATCATGTGACACTGAAGACTGGAGTAACGACTGCTGAAAATTCAGCTTCGCCATCACAGGAACAAATTATATTTTAAAATATATTGAAAGAGAAAACTGTTATTTTGAATTGAAATAATAATTATAAAAACATTTAAAGAGAAAAGTTATTTTGAATTGTAATAATAATTATAATTGTAATACTGTAATTTTAAATAAATTCAGTCTTGGTAAGCACAAGAGACTTTAAAAATCTTACCAACTCTAAGCTTTTGAATGGTAGTCAGAAAAAAAAAGTTTGTTTTTATTATAGGCAATCTCATCCATGCAAGGAACCTGGACTTTGGACTTTTCATGGGGTGAGATTAGTGCATTGTTGTTAACCCACTTCCTCAATTATTGAGAATGTTTTGATTGAATGTTAGAAGATGTCTTATTGTTCTGTGGTCTCTTCTGCTTACAGTTGGGATTTGAAGAACAGGTCATGGATCATCACAGAGAAGCTGAAGCCACTGGTTGTCAACATTGACTTCAGACGCAACAACCAGACCGTCTTTAAATCCACTAATTTCGCAGGATACGTGGGCATGCTGACCGGTATTCATCCGGTAAGGACAGAGCTCACATCAGTATGAGCGACCTGAGTTCATTAGCTTTGAATCCAGAATGAATGATAAAACATGGTGACAAGATTCACAATGCCCTTTTGTCTCTCACATTGTTTTTAGTTTGACTTCTGCAATTTAACAGGAAAGAGAATTGTGAAAGCATGGATTGTTGGTCAGTAATCACATTGCTTCTGTTTCTCACTGTGTCTCTGTCTTTTGTGTTCTTTGTAGCACTCCTTCACCCTCACTATGAATGAACGATTCAGTCTGGACGGAGGCTACATCGGTAAGCCTTTGCCTGGTATTTGCTGAGTCATATGAGGAATTGGCAAAAATGTGTTGAAGCTTTATTTCTTGAGGATTTGCAGGTTTTACAAATACTTATTTCATTTGGTTAGATCTTATCTTTTTTGTTTGAATGTTTTATTGTGAATTATAGGAATTCTGGAGTGGATCTTGGGGAAGAGAGACGGCATGTGGATGAGTTTTCTGACTCGTTCTGTGCTGGAGAATGCAACTAGGTTGGCTATAGATAAATATATTAATATATTTTTGCATTATAGTGCTTTATAAATGTATTTGAATGAATTATAATACACAATCTAATGCATTATGCTTTCATAAGTAATTATAACCACATATATGTCTTATAATACTTTACTTTTTATTAAAGAGTGTAAGGCATTACTCTGCATTTACAATCACTTTATAATTTATTATAAACATCAAGTATAGTGTTACTTATATACTACCAGTCAAAAGTTTGGAATAAGTATGATTTTTTTACAAATATTGTCTGCTCACCAGGGTTGCGTTGATTTGATAAAAAAAAAATACAGGAAAACACTAATATTGTGAAATATTGTATTACAGGTTCTACAAAAATGTTAAGCAGCAAAAACGGGTTTCAATGCTAATAATAAGTTCTAATAATTCTGCACCAAAATTTGCAAATTAGAATGATTTCTGAATGATCACTGAAGACTGAAGTAATGGCTGCTAGAAATTCAGACATCACATGAATAATTTTAAAATATATTAAGACAGAAAATAATTAAATTGTTATCATTTCACAATGTTACTGTTTTTCAAATAAATGGAGCCTTGGTGAGAAAAAAATTATTGTCACACTTTATTTTAAGGTCCTATTTTCACTATTAACTAACTATTAAGTACAACTTTTGTCCCATTATACTCCTGATTAGCTGCGTATTAATAGTAAGGGTAGGATTTAGGGATCTAAACTCTGGTAATGCAGAATAAGGGATTAATATGTGCTTTTTAAGTACCAATAAATAGTCAGTTCGCTAGTAATATTCATGCTTGGTAATAGTGATAATTGGTCCTTCAAGTAAAGTGTTTTCAAAATCGTAATTATTCCTAACTTCTGACAAGACAGTATATATTAAGCCATTTTTTTTATTTGTATTTTTTGAAACATTAAATATTGAAATATAAAACAAAAGAATCAGATGGATGTTTCTTGGCTTCATAAAGATGATTATTTGGATATCGTCTTCTTTTAGCTATGAAAGTGCCAAGGCTCTGTTGTCTGACACTAAGCTGCTGGCTCCAGCGTACTTCATCCTCGGAGGAAACCAGCCGGGTCAAGCCTGCATTATCACCAGATCCAGAACACACAGCATCAATCCACTGGAGTGAGTGAGCGTTGCTTTTCTTTACACATACAGTTAAAAGAGCGTGTGTGAGTTTGAGGTCGTCAGGATTAGAGTTTACACTTTCTATGTATTTTAGGCTGGATGTGAAGAATGGCAGGTGGTATGTGTTGGAGACTAACTATGACCACTGGAAAGAGCCCCTGTTTCTGGATGACCGCAGAACTCCTGCTATGAAATGCATGAATCAGACCACGCAAGCTGTGAGTTTTGACACTGCAAACATAGACCTAAACTGTTATTAAAAATCTAACTAGAATTTTTTTTTTTTTTTATCCTTTCAGGATATCTCCATAAAGACAGTCTATGATGTCCTGTCCACCAAGCCAGTGTTAAATAAAGTAGGTCCATCATCTTTTACTGTTAGTTTTATATTTCATTTTATGGCTTGTTTGTTAACACTTCCCTTTATTGTGCTGTACAGTTGACCACATACACTACTCTTATGGAGGTGTCAAAGGGAACACTGGAATCTTACATCCGTGACTGTCCTAACCCCTGCATGCCGTGGTGAGGGACTTCTTCTGGACAGGCTGCATTGCTGGGACAGACTTCTGTACGTTTAGGCATTTAGACAAAGAATCTAATTAATATTTTAGCTCCATTATAAATCAGTAGTCTTACATGCTAAAAGGTTTGTCTGCTTTTGTGGGCATAATTGGGTTTAATCAAGCTTAACCTGCCAAACAGGCACAGTAGGGCAGCCTACTTAACACTTGTCTAAAGATGCATGTTATGGAAACAAAAAATAATTGTAAAAATTTTTTTCAAATTTTTGTGAATGTGATTGACATTTTTGTATATCATTTTTTTTGTAACATACAGAAATATGCACAGTGGAACAACTTGATAATCAACACTACTGGTGCCTCATAACTTTATTTAACCTCATCAGCACTGTTAACTAACAAATGCATGAGGGAAAAATGATCAACCGAAATAAATTAATGTACATAAAGCAATAAACAAATTTGCACAAATAACATCATGATTTATTGGAGATGCAATACTTGTGGAAATCAGTCAACATTTTGCAAAATAAACACTTACCAAAGCAGGTTTTGTGCAAATGGGATAAAGAGAGCAATCACTGCAGGAAGTGGTAAAAATCAATGTTTTATTTTAATAATCTAAACATTGAAGAATTACATGAGATGAAATGGGGTGAGAACCCAAGCATTGGCCAACATGCCTTAAAAAAGGTAAAAATTAAAAACAAGAGAAAACATTTAAAAGAGTGCAATAAGAAAGGACAGGACAATGTACCAGTGCTAATATGCGATTCTGCTCTATCCATTACACATTTCATTATGTATTCTGGGTCAAGTAAAATGCATTTAAATAGGTTAATTTTTTTTCAAAATGTGCTTCAGTTTTGTCCTGAATCAGAAAAAAAACAAAACATCTACTGTCCTTTATGTATTGCATTGGCAAATAATCATAGCGGTCTGGGAAGGAATCCTAGAAAGAAATGCAAAAACAAAAGCCAAACCATGCCAAACATAGGAACACAAAAATTATTTGCATCTCTTAAATCGAAGCATTTGAAGGAGCGTTTACTGAGAGTTCTGGCTGAACACAGAAACACAGAAAAAGTACTTGCAGGCTTAAAGACAGAGCCCCTTCAAAACATCTCTCCTACATTCTTCATAAAACAATCCAAATAAAACGATTACAAGTGTAGAGAGATTTCTTTAACGTCTCTTGAACTGTTAGATCACACATGCTGACAGGCTAATTCACCAAGACTTAGCTTAGCTGTTGTTTCCAATGAATCTTAAGGTATTAAGCTCATTATACAGTAATGTTGCATGAATGATGATTTGCAGTGTAAGACGGATCAAAATACCATTCTCATGCACTCTGAGCTCCAATGGTTTCTGGAAAACAGATATGATTTACATTATGAGTGAAACATTTCTTCATCATCACAGGGATATCTGCTGATAGGTCATAGTCATTGATCATAGTAATATCAATATCCAATGCATATGGTTTGAGTGACATTTAATAGTTACCAGGCTCTTTGAGTGCTTGAGCATTTCCCACCAATCCTGTAATCTCTTCTTTATTTCCATTCAGAATTTCAGCTGTTAAGTTATTATTCTGCTGCTCTTCTGAGATCCTCTTACAAAGCTCTTCCTGTACAAATTACAAGCAAAGGAAATGTTTAAAACCAGCACTCTTTGGAGATGTCTTATGCACTTTAGAAAATAGGGACATGTAAAACACGGCTACTACAGTGCAGGTGACTGACATTCAACAAAACAAATAAAAAATTTTCCATGGATTTTACTTGTCAAGTTGACTATCGTGCCCCATCCCTATTAGAGAGCGATCACTCAAGCTCTTACCTCACAAAGAACAGACATTTGAAGAGGTAGATCCTCAACCTTCACAAAATCTTCCTCATCTGATCTCTGGCTGGTATTTCCAGATCCAGCCTCCTTTATTATAAAAAGTCAAACAAAAAAAGGAATATAATACATGTTTTGAAACCATTCTAAATGAACAAATAAAAGATGTTTGCTGAGAAGAATGAGACATACATCAGTGTTGATCATGACTGGAGACTCTGTGTCAGGACTGGCTGTATCTGAGCTCTGTGGAGTTTCCTGGGGTAGAGAAAGAGTACAGTCCTCCTCCTCCCCCTCCCGTCTTTCATCTCCCGAACCAGTTTTTGCCTCCTCTCTGCCCTCCTCTGGAGGCTGAATCATGTCTTTGGACTCAGATTTAATGTTTATCACTGTTTGAAAAAGGGAGACAAAATTCAATGAGTGGAGTGTAAATACCCCAATAAATCTCAATGAATGTTAATGGTATAAGAAGAAATTAAAAAGGCATACATTGGCTGCTTTCTGAGTTTTCTAAGTCTGATTTGGTTTCCTGGGGGGCTTCGTTTCGTAAGGCAGAGCCCTAAAACAACACGACAGGTTATTATTAGTGTGTTTGTCATTTGTCTGAGCCAAGTCAGATTACTGGCTCTCTCGTGTAAATGCCAACACACCTGGCTGTGTTCACTAGTGTTGTCCATGCTGGCTTGTAATGATGTTTGCACCTCAACAGGTCCAGCCTCAAACTCCTCCATCTCCTCCACTTCATTTTCATCTTCTCCACTGCCGTAGTTGCATAGAGCCTGTGTCTCTGCTTTAGACAGGCCTAAAGTAAAAAAGACAATACACAAAACACACAAGTCAAACAGATTCTTATCATAGTCAAATATTATTACAGAACAGTCTCAACCGTTAGGCGATAAGATGGACAACCTCCAGCAAACACTCTAGGTACTGTAGAAAAGTAAGCATACAATGTACCCTAGATGGCGTTTCCATAACGCCAATTTAAAAGGAATAACATTATGTAATCACTTAAAATATTAACATTATAGTTCAACATAACATTTTTATAGGGATGCTCCGATCAGGTTTTTTGCAGCCGATACGGAGTACCGATTTCTTGTCATGGTGATCGGCCGATACCGATGCCGATTCTGATGCTTCAAGCTTTATATAGACGGTTTCATCGGGCGCACTGGGGAAACCTCAGTTTCTCCCGCTTTAAAGCACCTCTTGCTGGCAGAGAATGAATTCGCATTTTCAGTAAGTCCATCTGATTTACGCAGCAAACATATTTTGCTTTTCCTATATCCACGGGCACTGCAGATAATCCGAGGGTCGGGTAATAAAAAACGCATTCTGATTATTTGCGGGTGGGTCGCGGGTGGATAAAATAAATCATAAATGATACAAACATTAACAAAAAATTTTTTTTAAATGCACACAAAATCGTCTGCCTCATGAAAAAAAATGTGTTCGTTCGCCTGAAGTTGCAGTGACAGAAACGGTGATTTGCAGCCGATACGGAGTACCGATTTCTTGTCATGGTGATCGGCCGATACCGATGCCGATTCTGATGCTTCAAGCTTTATATAGACGGTTTCATCGGGCGCACTGGGGAAACCTCAGTTTCTCCCGCTTTAAAGCACCTCTTGCTGGCAGAGAATGAATTCGCATTTTCAGTAAGTCCATCTGATTTACGCAGCAAACATATTTTGCTTTTCCTATATCCACGGGCACTGCAGATAATCCGAGGGTCGGGTAATAAAAAACGCATTCTGATTATTTGCGGGTGGGTCGCGGGTGGATAAAATAAATCATAAATGATACAAACATTAACAAAAAAATTTTTTTAAATGCACACAAAATCGTCTGCCTCATGAAAAAAAATGTGTTCGTTCGCCTGAAGTTGCAGTGACAGAAACGGTGACATTCCAGATAAAGTTTGAAAGGAGTAAAGCCTGTGTTAATGCTATTGAGTAGGCTAATATGGCCTACTCAAAGAAGATACTTTGTTTTATAAATAAATGTTCATTTAAAAGCAGCCCATGATCAGCGTGTAATGTTACCGTTAACCCTTACTGCTCCGACAAGGTTTTGTTCGGTCCTCCACGCTGTGACAACTCACAAAAGTCTATTTTTAGCTAAGCAGCACGGAGAGCCGCTTCAGAAACGTGCCGTGGCTGGCCGGTATAAACAAGCATTGACTAGAGCTGCCACAATCAGCTCCAGTTCCCGTGGAGCCGTAACGCGCCACAGACATGTGCAGTGAGGCACAGATCATCTCTAACGTCACTGAATGTGCTGTTAAAAATGAACCATCCATTCATCATATCATCATGCAAAACATGAAAAATAGCAAATTTTTCATTGTTTCTCGAAATAGCATTTCCTCACCAGCGATGACATGACTGCGGCACCAAATCATTTATGTCCCCACGCATCATGTACGTCGTCACGCATTGACGTCATCAAATTGCGATCGGTTCGTGAGATCGGCCAAGTATAGTGAGTACCGATCGAGTCATAAAACGTGATTATCGGCCGATGCCGATACCGATCTCCAGCCGATCAATCGGAGCATCCCTACATTTTTACATTACAGTTCAAAACTCTGGGGTCTGTACTTTTTAAAAAAAAAATTAATTCAGCAAGGAAACACTAAACTAATCAAAAGTCAAAAGATTTTCTAAACGATTATGTGAAGAGAAATGGCTGCTGAAAATTCAGCTTGGCCGCAAAATGAATAAATTCCATTTTACAATGTATTAAAATAGGAAACTAGAAATGTAGTACAGTATAATATATTTTTGATCAAATAAACAGCCATGGTAAGCAAAAGTGACCCACTTTTCTTTCTTTTTTTTAACGGTACTGTATTTTTTTTTCCAAAGGCAAGCTAATTTTTCCTGTTTCAGATAAACTTACTTATAGAAAGAGGCAGCCCTTCTCCCTCCTCTTCTTCCACCTCAGATGCTTCACTGCTCTGTGCATCTTTCTCCTTGTCCTCTTCCCTCTCATGAAGCATCCCATCCTGCTCAGTCTCATCCTGATCCTAAGGATTAAAAAAAACAACAACAAAAAAAACATTTAAAGTCAATTTATGACTTTATTATTTTTATTTAAAAAAAATCATAAACACCAATAGTTGAACAACAGCTGCTGTTTTGTTGTTGTGTGAAATCAGTAAGGACAACCGATAGAAGGTGTTTTCCTCAATCTTTCTCGTCACTTCATACTGATACTGCAAGCTAACAGTGGGGCTTTAGATTAAGAAGCAGTGTAGCTGCTTAGTGTTTTAATGTGAATGTTGTAAGTGTATCAACAATCATAACTTACTCTGTCTTCATCAAAATATGATGGGGAGAATGTATTTTCTCTCTCTAGAGTTCTCGCCTCCTAAATAAAAAACACACTCATCATTCTACTTACTCAAACACAGAAGCATTGTTCCAGACACATGACGATGATTAATCACTCAAGCCTACCTCAGTGTGAGGTGAGTGTTTTGGAGATGTTAGATCAGAGCGCCTCTTGGTTCGGTGTTTGCTTTTGGAGGTGTTCTGATCTAAATCCTGCATCAGTCTGAAGAAGGCAAGCTCATTAAAGAGGATCTCAGAGATCTCTACTAGCAGGTCCTCACCGCAGTCTTGCAGCGTCCGCCCAACAAACTTACTCAAGGAG